GCATGAGCAGGGGCGAGGTGGGGGGGGGCAGAAAGAGAGAGAGAGAGAATCCAAGTAGACTGCCTGCTGAGCCTGCCCTGAGGTCATGACCTGAGCCAAAATCAAGAGTTGAATGCTTAACCGACTGAACCACCCAGGCACCCCTATTTTAATTTGAGGTTTCAGCAATATGGATTTTACTTTTTTTTTCTTAGTAGATGATAAAAAATAGTCACCTACTCAGGTCATAGCTTCATGTTAGAAAAGTTGGAGATGGGAAAATATGGTGAATAAACATTGTTGCCTCTGTGATTCTGCTCAAAATGTGTTTTGATGCTATAAAGATTAGTTCAGGAGGCAATGATTAATGTCCTCATAAACTCATACCTGCTTTAAAGGCTGGGTTAAAAATATGCTTGTCAATATAAAATTTCTTATACAGTTCCTTATACAGTTTCAGTTTCATCTATACTAAACCCAAAAGAATTTTAAGAAAGGAATTTTCTTATGGAATGCTATTAATTGAAAATGAACATTTTGGTTTTTTTAAAGAAATTAGAATCCTGGAAGAAAACAAAGAATTGGAAAATGCTTTGAAAAATATCCAGCTGCCTAAAGAGGAAATTAAGAAACTTGAAGTGGATGACATCAGTAAGATCTTTTAAAAACTTCTCATTTACAAATATGAGACTGAACACTTATCTTCCTTTAAAAAAAAAAAGTATAGGGTAAATATAGTCCAAACCCTATAATATTAAAGGTCTTAAGTAAAACAATCTTACTGTAACAATAGAGTTTCACAAAAGATCTTTAATATGTTTGTAAATAGAGTTGATCTTATACTTTGCTGTAGCTCCATTTCAACACTGATATTTTTTTAAAAAGAGTTTATCTAATTTTAATTTTAGAATGTGCGCTTCTAGAGAAACAATAACTCAAGATTGCTAGTAATTTATAAATTTGGCAAAAATATGTAATAAAAATCAACTTAAAATATAGTCTTGATTTTTTACAGTTTACTAGTTATGAATTAGTTTTATGTTATCTTGTTATTAAAGAAAATAAATAATGCTATGAATATAGTGGAATGAAGATTTTTCTTTTTTTTCCCCCTAAGCTTTATGGTACAAGATGATTCTTCCTCCTCAATTTGACAGATCAAAGAAGTATCCCTTGCTAATTCAAGTGTATGTAATATTTTCTTTGGTGTAAAAACTATTTACTGAAAATATGTTGAATTAAATACACATTTATGAGATAGAATGAACCATTCTCCTTGGTAACAGTTCCTATTGATGCTGTTTTTATATATTCCTCAACTAATCAGAGTAAATAAAATATGGCTATTTAAAATAGATGGAGGAAGTTTGGGGGTTTTAGATGGACTGGCTTGCATTCGCTGTCTTGAATTTCCTTTGTATGGCAAATTGCCGAATGTGTCAGAATACCTTTGAGATAGAGAAATTGCAGCCAAAAAATATTGTAAATCATCTTAATGTCTTATGTAAGTGAGTTAGAAATGAAATAAGGGAATGGAATACATTTAGTGGAATCACACCCAAAATCAGTGCTGACCTACACACAATTTGCTTAAAACACCATGCATTTTTTTTAGTATATCTTATGCCTGCTTTTAGCAAGTGGCAGGTGGCAGAAATGACGAAAAACCCACACATATTCCTTGAAATGCCAACCCTAGATGTATCCGTTTTGGGGAATAGGAGAGGCTGTGTCCCAAAACAACTTCCTTGTAGCAAACCTCTGGGAAAAGCCTGGTCCTCTCTTGATTTTGAGCCAGTTCTAATGCCACTGTTATTGAAATTTTATCATGCAAATGTACTGGGAAATACTAAAGGCAATTCTTAGCCATGATGTGAAGTTGAGTTTTACCAAGGAATCCAAGATTCTTTTTGTTGTGTTTTTTGTTTTTTTTTTTTTCCTTTAGGTATGGTGGTCCTTGCAGTCAGAGCGTAAGGTCTGTATTCGCTATTAGTTGGATTTCTTATCTTGCAAGTAAGGAGGGGATAGTCATTGCCTTGGTGGATGGCAGAGGAACAGCCTTCCAAGGTGACAGACTCCTGTATGCAGTATATCGAAAGCTGGGTGTTTATGAAGTTGAGGACCAGATCACAGCTGTCAGGTGAGCACTTCTCATTCAAACAGAAATTGGTGTGCAACAAAAGTCATGCAATCATTGTTGGGTTACTCCATCTTTAATGATTTCATTCTTTTTGTCTATTTTCCTCACTTCATCTAAAGTTACCATTAATCTTAAAGAGATATTTTGTCCCAATATGAGAAAAGAATTACCAATGGAAAAGAGCTAATAAATGTGTAGAAACATGATTTATACTGATAAATGACAAATAACTCTCTTTCGGTATTTCAGTCATTCTCATATCCTTTCATTTATTCACATGGTTCACACACAAAAAATTGTATAACTCTAGGGATGGTCTATAGGCAATCAAACATCTGAATTTGCTCAAGCGTTGTGGATTCTAGCTCATAAATTTAGAAATGCCTCCAACACTCTGTCCTTATAGATACTGGGCATTCTTTTGTAATTAAGCTAGCTGTGAAGTTTGGCTGTGTTAGTATGAAAGTGTTTTCCTGTTTTCATTTGACAAAAAAATTCACTTTATGTAATACAAATTATATTATGCAAACATTCATAGGAAAGACAGACTCATAATCTGAGTTCTTATCCAACTACATTCTCAACCATAATTTGTGTCTCCACCATCTTTTCTGAAACAAAAAGAATATAGTCACCAAAATCACTGTTTATTTGGAAGTACTCTGCAGGATTCTTCTGGATATTTCTCTACAGTTGTTGGGTTTCTGTTATTATGTTGTGCATACGTGAAGTTAGAGAACAGTAGTTTATAAATGTAAAAGCTAACACAGGCCGGTTGCACCCTTAGTCATGGATGTATATGTGTGTGTAACGGCCTAAGGTCAAACACTGTTTCACAGCAAAGAGCAATTTAGAAAATTCATTAGTAAATTCCTTTGATCATCTTAATGTCATTAATAGTTACTGATTTCAATATAACACATTCAATGAAGATTGCATTTGACAGCTAGGAGCCAGGCCCAGACAATACTTTTCTATATTTTTGTCTCTAATCACAGCAGAAGAGTTTAGACTCACAAGTAATTATTTTTAAAAATGGAAAAGTAATCATAACCCATATGTTTTCAAATCTTCCTTCCATTCTGTGAACAGTAATATACACACACTTATATACAATATTCAATTAAAACCAGTCTATTTGAGTAAAATCTGACAAATAAATAAGTACATTATTAAATAACACTGCACAATCTGTGGGCATTATTCATGCCTGATTTCTAGGAGGCTCCATCTTTCTTGCTGATCCAGATTTTTGGCCTGTCTGCTATTAACCTTTTTAGGAGAATCTTCTGCCTGATGGGGAGGCATAGAAGAGATAGCTCAAAGAAAAATCTACCAAGAGATCAGTTTCTCACATAAAGACTGTGGTGTGCCTTGATGGAAATATGAACACCACTGTCAGTGTTATAGACCTAAATCTTTTTTTTTTTTTAAGATTTTATTTGTTTATTTGACAGAGAGAGACACAGCGAGAGAGGGAACACAAGCAGGGGAGTGGGAGAGGGAGAAGCAGGCTTCCCACTGAGCAGGGAGCCCGATGTGGGGCTCAATCCCAGGACCCTGGGATCATGACCTGAGCTGAAAGCAGACGCTTAACGACTGAGCCACCCAGGTGCCCCAGACCTAATTCTTTGAGGAGTTTTTTTTTTTTTTTTTCGGCACTGTGGGTCACATCTATTTGTACTTAAACCACGCAATAAACACCAAGGGCATGCAACCGTGGGACTACATCAAAAGCCAGATGTGGATTACACCTCATTTGTAGTTCAACTGGATTTTTCCAAAGTTGGTAGAGCTAAAAAGTGGTTTGTTTTGGCACTGGTTGAAAACCAAACTTATCATCATCATCATCATCATCATCATCACAATCTACTAATAACAGCACAATACATCATCATGCCTTTGAGGGCACTTATTTACTACCCAAATTGCAGCATTTGAATTTAAGAATACCTCAAGAAACAGAACAGATAGCTTCTTATCGTGTTTCTTGCATGGAATGAAAATTTAAACCTGAAACCCATGGAGAGGCCTTAACGAAAATTGTTATTTCTGATGTTCAATATATAGGACATGAAGCCACAAATTGTACCAATTTTCACAATAATATAAATGTCTTTGGCATTTAAAATTGAAGATAGACCAGAGGCAGTAGTTGGCTACCTTTACCTTCTCTGAGCCATTTTTAGGATGGAATCTGAAGAAAGTCTTCCTGCTATAGAGCAGGCATATGTTCACTCATTTGCTCAGCCATTGAACAACAACAGATCAAATATTAATATATGCCATTGCAATCCACTCTGTATGAAATTGTGCAACTTACAACTTCTACTTTCAGTGCACTTACAATCCTCGTAAAAGGGTTAACACCCCCACCCCACACCCCGCACTCTGAAGGGATGACATTGCTGTCAGATGGGACTTTTAGTAAACAGCCTGGTGAACCAGGGGAGGCTGTGTGGCCCATGCAAAGCATATACAGAACAGTGGAGATGCACTGGGGGCTGGCCTTGCTTTGCTTGAAAGCATCATTCTGCAAAAGTGAAAGGGACGCCTTGGAACCCGATGCTTTGAGAAAACAAAAGCTAAAAAGGATAGATTTATAATGATTATCCTGGGAATAATTCAACCACATGTCTGCCAAGAAGTGTTTTAGGAATCAGACACTGAATGTCTGACATGGGAATTGGGATTGTCATCCCTTTATGGTCGCCCTCAAATTACCTTCCCACAAAAGAATAAAATGTATCCCCTTCAATCTCATATAAAATGCAATCTGGCTAAATTTTTTACATACCAAAAAGAAATCATGTGTGCCTATTTGGCAACAGCAGTAAATACTAGTCAGGATCAATAAATAGATTTAAACAAAGCAAAGCAGGGTTAGAAGAAGAAGAAGAAGAAGAAGAAGCAGCAGCAGCAGCAGCAGCAACAGCAGCCAGACAACCTCACAACTTTGACTACACAAAAGAGAATGCTTCAAAGGAGATGCTTGTGAGGTCAAAGCGTAAGTGAAACTGGGAACTGCTTTCATCAGGCTTCCCTGCAAATGGTACATACGTGGACCCATAAACTTTGTTAGTTATAGGGTCAGTTCTACTCATTTGGGGTATATTTGGCATTTTTTGACATTCCCACATTTCCCACAATAACTAGAAGGTTGGTGGTGAGAAAATATCATGTCATACTGTTATACATGGTATCAATAAGGACAATTCCAAAATAGAATAATAATTGATCCCTAGGATTCCAAATCGACCTTTGGTCTAGGGCCGTTCTTATGCGAGAAAAGTTGTAAAGTTCAGTCCAGCCTCCAAAATGCTTTTTCATTTGTTACTAACATTTTTCTTTATTTAACCACATTATCAATGGTGTTTCTGATAACCCTTCTGAGAGCGCTTCAGAATTTGGAGGTAAATTTTATGGAGCCTTTTTGGCCTCAGAGTGCTCAGATTATCTAGCTAACCTTTAACCTAGTCCTGCCACATTAAGTGTTAATGTTTCATTTCCATGTTAACTATTGCACTATCATTTCTTGTAAATGTCATCCTTCCAGAATAAAGCGAGGAAGGGAGCTGTTAAGAATTTCCTGCTCCCATGTATCACCTGCTATTTGCTTTTACCCCAGGTGCAAGGCAATATGATTGCTAGCTTCTGGGAGATCATAAAATCGAAATTGATTTTATGGCTCAGAACTGTCTTCCAGCAGTAGTGGAAAGATTTTTTTTTCCTAACAAAGAAAGTGAACCTTTTCCTCTTTCATTTGGCTTTTGAAGTTAATGGAAGAATTGCTGAAATGCCACAGTTTGCTGCACATTTTCTCTGTTTTACCATGAACAGCATCCACACAGGTAACAACTCTCCGTTTGCTGCTGCATTTCTTCCCCGTAGACTCCTCAGTGTCCCTCAGAATCGGTGTAGGGTAAGCTGTGACTGACGGGGCTTCTTCCCATCTGTTGGTCCCGGGCATTTGCCCAACTCCTCTGTGCATTGGAAACGTGCATGTTGAATCAATGCAACAAGCAAAATGGTTGCTGTGAAATCCCTATAAGAAACTCCATTATTCAACTAATAAAACCATTCCATTTTACTTCCAGAGAAGAATGAGAAAGGGCATTACATATCTAAAGGGAACAAAAAAATCGTATTTTTCTGTCTCCCTGTGTGTTACTTTGTTCTCCTCCCCTCCTTCCTGCTACTGTCGCATCCTGGTCTCTGCAATGGCTCATCCCCCTTATTTTTTTTTCTTCCACTGCTTCTGTTTTTCTTAGAGTTCCCTGAGTTTTGGGAATCAAACCATTCCCAAAATAAATCACAATTGCTCTAGAACACCAACCCTCAAGGAGGCCTGGGATAAATTAGCCTAAAACATTCCTATCCCGTACTAGCTTTGCAAAGTTGCATTTCTGAGGGCTTCCCATGACTTTTTAAAGGTTGCCCTTCAGCATGGTCCCTTGCTCCTAAGAAGATATTTATTTTCAAAATAGTTTTCAAAGGAAGGCTCTTCTATGATGGAACTCAAAATAATCATGTCCATATCCTAAAAGACACGCATAATTATACATACCATGATAAATTGAGGGTCCCTAAGTATGAAATGGGAGAGGGATGGATATTATTCCATGGATGCCAAAACAAGGTGGTGATTATCATTAAGATCTAAGCATTTAAGATTGATAAAATTTAAAGCAGCAACAACAAAAATCTTTTTTTCCTCAAATCTGGGGATTTGGAAATTTGGTCCCAGTCGTGGTGCTATGACTTCCTGTGTTACTGTAAGCCTGGGCCTTGACCTCTCTGAGTCCCAAGTAACTCGCTCACACAATCAGGATGCTAGACCTGCAGCCTTAGAAGTACTACTCAACAGATGTACAGTAGAGTCTAAAGGATCCATTTTATTCTTTGCAGAAAACACGATAATATTCTTTTAATTATTTGTTAAGTGCAGTGTTATTATGCATGTGTTTAAACAAAGAAAATGGAGCATTTCTATTAAATCTTCGGATTAAATATGCTTGTGTAATGAAGTAAATGTCATGTGTACACACTTAAAATTCTAAAAATTTGTTTCTTTTCTTTAGAAAATTCATAGAAATGGGTTTCATTGATGAAAAAAGAATAGCCATATGGGGCTGGGTGAGTTGTTTTATATGTTTTATGCCTGTTATTCAGTTCAGCAATCATAATTTTCTAAAGTGTGTGCTTATAAGGTTTCTCATGAAATGTTAATGTTGCAACATCATTTAATCTGTCAATGGAAACAGTCAATTTGGATAATCTAGGCTTCAAAGTGGTGGCTTTAAGTGTTCCTTTTTTCCAATCATTTAGTTTCTTCCTCATATAGCAAACTAACTCGTAATTGACACATTTTTACTTATTTTTTTTTTTGTATTATAGTATACTGAACTGAACTGTATTCATCAGAGGTGTAATTTCTTTTGTTATTTTAGAGTTAATATGTATCTTTTCTATCTCATCATTTCATTTTTATGAAAAGCTAAGCTAACGTTTGAAATCACAGGAACTTTTAAAATATAAATTCCCTAGTACCTAGCTTACCCCAGGCATATCTTGGCTGTTTTGATTCCTTTTTTTCTTTTCTTTTTTTTTTTGTAATCAAATTATTTTACTAGGCCTAATATTAATTTGTACCAATGGGAGAGAAGTATAATTTAGTTTCTGAGTTATAGGTCATGGAGATAATTGCCCATATTTGAGGAGCTAAGCAGTTTTTCAAAATATACATAAAAAGGAAGTGGCAAAACTTCCCAATCATGGGCAATGAAGTCACTGGAAAGTTTAGAGAAATATTGGAAAGAGTTTAGATTTGCCCATTATAAATTATGATAATTACCCTTCAAAGAAGATTTCCTGTTTCACTTTTTGGTCTGAATTTGTACATTTGCAAGTCAATTTGCAGCCGTTTGTGCTTGGGTTGTTTTTCTTGGCTGTTTTCTCTGAGAGCGGCCTGCACAAGATGGAGGGAATGAAACCCAATATTGAAGGGAGTCTGCAGGCTCCGGCTCAGCTCTCAGCTCAGTGACCAGATGAAGAGCTGTTATGAATTTGTGGAAAGTTGTTACTTCAAGCCATTTGGTCCTTCTTAAAACTATCAAATGTTAAATATCTAAACAGAATGGAATTCAAATGGGTGGAAATAAATGAAATATTTTTATAGTGAAATATTTCAGATAAGATCTCTTCTACCATCCATTTTTATGAAATTTCCTAAAGTAAATTTTTGAAAGATTCAGATTTCATGCTGAACACTTACATATAATCATTAACATTTCTCTTACAGTTTTCCTTTGCTTTTACTGCAGGCTTTGAAATAACCATAAAGTGGAACTTTTAATTTCATTTCTAGAACATCCTGGTATTAGTTTGGTAGAGAACCATTTACGTGGGATGATTTAAAGAACCCACTCAGCACCCCAAAATACATCCATATCAGTCTGAAATTCTTCAATAAGAGATTCTCACCATGTCTATGCAAATGCTTCTAGGAGAGGTTGTATATTAGGTCCCCTTTATTGCTTACTTTCCAACAAGGCAGTGATTGTGAGGTAAATCCTGAGAGCATGCGCACAAGAAGGAATAAGTGAACTGCCAATGGATGCAACATTTGAGCAGCCCCTAAATCAGCAGGACCCAGAAGATCCTGAGGGAAAAAGACCTTAATACTATACTGTTTTTTTTTTTATCAATTCTTTATGATTTATTTAATCCATCCATCTGATCACTGACTCATGCATTCTTACACCAATGTAGTAAATTTTTATTGGATCTCAACTAGGTCTTATATTAGGTTCTTTGGAAAATGAAAAGATGAATAAGTTATAGCTCTGGCCCTTTATTAGATAAAACAGCAAAAAAGCAATTGCTCAGCAATGTTCCAACTGTTAAGACAGATACAACTTGTGGTGGAAAACACGAGGGAGCAGAGTAGTTAATCTTGGCTGTGAGAGTTAAGGGGAGATTCAGAAATGAGGTAGTGAAGATAGGTCAATAATGGTGCATTCCAGAGAATGAAGACAGCCTTGACAGAGTCCTGAGGTAACAATGAGTAGGGTGTGGTTGGTCTGGATGCTGGAAACTTCAGACGTGTAAGGCATGTGGTGAGGAAGGTGAAGGAAAGGAATTTGGGTAGGGAGTTAGCCAGATTAACAGGAGGCCTTTTAGACTGCATAAAGGAGAATGGGCTCTATCTATGGATCTGTGACACATTTCTCCTATTTTTCTATGTCTCCATGATCATTACACTCCATTTAGTCTTTATTTTTGTATTTATTTATTTTTTAAATTTTCCATTCATTCTTTAAATGTCAGTGTTTTTCAGGGTCTGGCCATGAATCTCAATGTTTTTCACTTCCTTGGGAAAACCCATGTAATTTCAAAGATGGTGCTGACTCTCAGATCCCTGTCACTAGCCCCCAGCTCTCTTCTGAGTTCCATGTTCCAAATGCTCACTGACCATCTATCCCAAATGTCTGACTGGAGCCTCAAGCCTAACCTACACAAGCTAAACTTGTTATAGTCTACTTAAAACAAGTCCTCATCTTTATTAAAGGACCTCACCACACACCTAGTCACCCAGATTAGTAAATTCAGAGCTATTTTCAACTTCTCTTGTTCCCTGACTCCAACATGCCATTGGTTAGTAAGTTCTGTCAATTCTACCTTCAAAAATCTAAATCTGGTCTCATCATCCCCACTGCCAGTGCTTTAGTTCAAGTTTCTTCATATGTAATTTAGATCAGACCTTCTCAAAATTTAGCTTACATAAGCATCACGTGGAGAACTTGTTGAAACAGTTTCCAGGGCCCTACCACTAGAGATTCTGATTCCATAGTCCAGGGTGAGCCCCAAGGATTTGCATTTCTGACAAGATCCCAGGTAATGCTGATTCTTTTGGTCCATGGACCATTGGGTGGTACCAGTTTAACTACTCCAGTTGCCTCTTAACTAGCCTTCCTGCTTTGACCTCACAAGCTGCAATGTTGCTAATGAAGTTGCTATTCCAAAACACAATTCTTACCATGTTGCTTTTCTGCTTATATGCTTATATATTTTCTAAGGCCACATATTGACCTTGACCTGGTGCCCAAACTTATTTCCTTGCATGCAAAGCCCTTGACAATCTGGCTGTAACCTGCTTTTCTGGCCTCATCTCTTTCCACTTCTCCCCCACGCCTTATGAATAATTTGACTTTTCCCTGCAACCTGAAATGTGTCCATCTTCTCCCATCCTGCTCCTCTGCCTCCAAATGGAAAACTCCTACTTACTCTTTAAAACCCAACTCAGATATGACTTTCTTTGTGCTCCAGTAGTTCTTTATACTGCTCTTCTAGGAATTATCATGTTTTATTTTGTCTATCTAATGATTTCTCCCATGAGAATGTAAGCTCATCGAGGGAATGGACTTTGTATTTTTTTTTAATTTTTTTTCTCAAATGTTTAGCATAATACTTGGCCATCCCATACACCAATGATGTTATTTAAACTAAATTTAATCCTATAAGTCAGTGTTCCCCCAAATGTATCTTATTAATACCAAGGACTTTTTCAGGAAAAGGTCCTCTGGGTCTAATAATACGGTAAATTATGAATTCTACATAATAGTGTATATTGGCTTGGTGAAAGAACAGTAAAGAATCCTGTTAAATTTTGATTAATATAGTATTACCAAAAGGTATTTGATTCCATGGATCCTTTTTTGAAATGTGCTCTTGAAGTCAATAGGGAATAGAATTGGTGTCTTGGAAAGATACTCTTGGCCACAGGGCGAAGGATGGTCTGAGGTGGGGGAGGGAGTGGGCCAAGGATTTAGGGAGCAGTAATATTGACCACAAATACCAAGGGCCTGAATTCAAACAGTGAAGTAGGAGGTGGGAAGAGGTCAGAGCTTCAAGTGTTGTTTTCTAGTATAATAGACAGGGACCTGTGGGAAACTGGAGATGTGGAAGAGGAAGCTGTTGAGAATGACTGTGAGCGTTACTTAGCCATTAGTTGTCTCATATCAAGGAAGAAAGTATCTGTTTCCATGAAGCGTTAGGCAGGTTAGCAGTCTGAGACATATACTAAAGCTGACCCCAGACATTTTTGGTAGTCAGTTGGCAAATAAGCTGCAAATCTTATGTTTGCCTCCATAATCCTGATTAAGAAGGGGAAAGGAAGCGTTTTTATCTTACCCTTTTATATTTCTGGCTCACACAAACCAAAATCCAGTAGCTCTGTTCTTGGCTGTTTATTAGATATCCACCAGGCCCCCAGCACCATGCCTGGGATGTGTCTGCTACAGCTGGTTCTTCACCAGGCCATCTTGCACCTCAGGGGACATTTGGCAATGTCTGGAGTCATTTGTGGTTGTCACAACTGGGGGAGTGCTACTGGCAGCTAATGAGTCGAGGCCAGAGATGCTGTTAAATATCCCACAATGCACAGGACAGGTCCCCACAAAAAAGAATTACCCAGCCCAAAATGTCAACCGTGCTGAGGTTGCAAAACCCTGGTTTATGTGAAGAAAAATTGAAGTAATTATTCTGACAATTGAAGAGCAGCAGGGGTTTTGCCTAAATTATTAGAATAACAACCTCATTCGTGGGCCTTGCTTTGTTAATATAGGCCTAGCCAGGTGGTGTTGAATAAGCATTAGTTCATGATTTAATCTTAGTTCCTTTCTCTTCCAGTGACTAATTATAAGCAATTTGAATTGCTATGTGCGATCAACGATGTAAAAGTAGGACAAATGCACCTCTAATGAGACTACATTAGACTCCAAACTTAAAGTTCCCCGACGAGGTTTGCCCCAGTGCAAGGACAGAGAGGAAAGTCATGGGTTGTAGAGGCAAGTGTCCTGGCTTTGAGTCCCAGCTCTGCTGCTTCCTGACTCCCAGAGCCCTCTAAGTTCCCTCCAGCCACGGCTTCCTCGTCGTGAAAGGCAGCCGTGATTTCCTCACCGGGGCCCTGTGAGGAGGAGCTGAGTTAACAGGAAAGTGATATATTTGACAAATATTGATTCTTTTTTTTTTTAAGATTTTATTTATTCATTTGACAGAGAGAGAGAGACAGAGAGAGACAGCGAGAGAGGGAACACAAGCGGGGGGGGTGGGAGAGGGAGAA